TATCTACCTAATGTAAATGTTCAGCTCATATGCCTGTAAACCAGACTTTTTAAATCTCATTTTGAAACCAAAGTTCCTTAATTCCAGATGTACTACAGAGACTGCTTTAAGGTGACTAAGGAGGCTTTGTGGTGTCAGACTGCTCAAGTTCAAAGGCAGCCCCCATTAACTAGCCATAAGATCCTGGGTAAATTATATTGCCTCTCTGTGCTGCAGTTTCCTTGTTTGTAAAATGGGGGTTGGAAACAACACACCTACATTATGTGAGGACTAAATGAGATAATGCATGTGAAGAACTTGGCCTCAATCACAATTAGCTGGTAGTAATAATATTTTCTGTTTTCATAACTAATAGTGCTTGTTCTGTTTTCACAGACAGAGATCATAATGGATGCTGTCCACAAACAAAGAAGCTTACAATTCAAGAAAACCATGGATGTGAGTCACACTTTCTTGCCTTTTTTTTTTAATAATCGTGATATTCTTTGAAATCCTGTCCTGTATATGATCATATTCCTAATCAAATAATATTTTAATCATGTAATTATTTATTAATGTTTTACAGAAAACAACCTTTAGTGGTTTAGCTTTCCTTCTTTTTAAATGGCTAAGAAAGATTTCGGATGACATCAGATAGTGGGAACACAATAATGTAATCTTTCTGGTAACATGGGCAAGTACAGCCAGTCAATTTAAATAGTCCAGGCCATAGCACAAAGCATATATACTGTAGCATGCTATTTACCTTGCTCAATTCCCCCTGTGACTGTTGAGTATTGACTTCTCACTTACTTTGTTGAATGACTTCTTGTCTGATATCTCCAAGTTGTAAAAGCCTGCTTTCCTTTAAGTAAAAAAGGCTTAATAAGACAGAGCTAAAACAAGTTGCCAGGGACTTTGCTCCTGTTTGTCATGATGCTCATAATTTCCAGATACAATCCACTCTTGTAGTGGACATCTGTGACTTCATCTTTGTACAGAGGTATCATCAAGATACTGTATGGCTATGACATAGATCTAGTAACCCAGTTCAAAGAGAAAATATCACCAATGTTGATGGCATACACAGCCTGTTAGGCTGCAGTACGTTTTTCTTTGATGCACATTACCTCATCAGCGACTGAGGAATACTAAATGATGTCAGGGAAATGCAAGAAGAGTGTTGGTTGATACCTGACTTTCCCCCCATACTTTTATGTTTTGAAGCACTCTGAGAAAATTTTAAAGAGAAAGCCTTAAGGGAAAGCTGGAAATCCTACAGAAAAGCCTTCCATTAGTGAAGGAGTGGCTGGCTTAGTGGCTTCGAGAACAGCCATGCTTTCCACAATATTAAGCTTGGCTGCAAAGCAGACAAAGGAACTTGAAAGACATTTTTCCCTGTGTTAAAAAATAGAGTAATGAAGGAGGCTAGACTTTAAACTTTATTTTTCCATAAGCCCTGTTATTTTTGGTATGAAATTTTGCTGAACATGAGGTTTTCTCAGGAAAGGAGATATGGTGTCATCGCAGAAATACTTTCATTTATGAGCCTGTATCTTCATCAGCAGTCGCCACTTTATTTTTCTAAGGACTCAAAAAATGACTTGAGTAATATCTTCCGCATTTTTTTTTTTTTAGATTTGATGTCCAGTTTGAGGTTTTCAGACTTTACATTTTGCCTCTTTTTGAGTATTAGACCAGAGTATCTTGTTTTCTGACATGTCTCCCTTATTCTGCATCTTCCGAAAGATTACTGAAGTGCTCCAAGGGTACCTGGGGTTTCTGTCTGTTATTTTCTACTTAGGTCTGCAGATCTGAACTTATTCCTTGGCCAGGCGAACTTTTAACATGTCTTATTTTGTCATGGGTTTCTGCTTTTCCTAAACATGTTTCTCATATCCTTCCCAGTTTGAGCATTAGTTTTTAGTTTTGGACAAGACAGAAGCAAAAAAGCAGTTGCATGTTTTTTTTCCCCCCCACTTTTATAGGCTTTAGTATCACTCATCTTCCCTATTGGTCCTATCCTTTTTTTATCCTTCTTGCGTTTAAACAAGAAAGTGCAGTAAATAATAATAATAATAATAATAATAATAATAATAATGCAGTGCTAGAGAGGGTGGAGTTGTATAATCTCTCTTTTTTTATTAAATTTATTCATTTTGAAAAAATCCTCAAAATTACAGAAGAGTTGCAAATACAGTCCAGAGGTTTTTTTTTTTTTTTTAAATGATCTATTTTTAAAATTAAACTTTTTCTTTTAAGATAATTGTAGATCACATGTGTATGATAGGGAGCCCTGGTAGCATAATGCCTAAGGCATTTAACCACTAACCAGAAGGCTGGTGGTTCAAACTCACCAGCCACCCCTTGGAAGGAAGGATGAACAATCTACTTCTGTAGTGATACCATCTTGGGAACCCAAGGAGGATCAGACTCGAGGGCAGTGAGTTTGGTTTTTGTGTATGGTAAGAAATAATACAGAGAGGTCTCATGTACCCTGACTTACTTTCCCCCAATGGTAATATCTTGCAAAACCAAGTAAAATACCACAAGCAGGATATCAACATCGATATAGTCAAGATACACAACATTTCCATCACCATAAGGATTTCACATGTTTCCCTTTCAAAGCCACACCCACTTCCTCCTTCCCTGTCTTCTAACTATGGCAACCACTAACATTCTCTGTTTCTAGGATTTTGTCATCTCAAAAATTTTATGTATTGCACAACTCTATAAAGATGGTAAAAATCATTAAAATGTACTCTTTAAATGGAAGGAAGACGCTGTGAGTTGGAAACAACTCAATGGCAGTGAGTTTTTTTTGTTTAAGCTGTTGGCAAAAAAAAAAAAGAGAGAGAGAGATTGAGAGAATCATACAGTATGTAACCTTGTGGATTGTGCTTTTTTCACACTCACCATACTTTTCTGGAGATTCCTCCAGGTTGTTATATATCTCAGTTATTTGCTCCTTTTTATTGCTGAGTTGTATTCCATGTTATGGATGTGCTGCAGTTTGTTTAAGCATCTACTCCTGAAGGACATCTAGAATAACCAGTTGTTGATATTACAAATAAAGCTACTGTAAACATTTGTGTGTAGGCTTTTGTGGGAATATTTATGTGTGGGATAAATGCCCAGGAGTGCAATTGCTGAGAAATATGGTAGTTGTATGTTCAGCTTATTAAGAAACTGCCAACTGTTTTCCAGAGTGACTGTACCATATTACATTCCCACCAGCAATAAATAGGAGATCCAGTTTCTCTGCATTCTCACCAGCATTTCATGTTGTCATTATTTTAAATTTTTATGCTTTGTTATAGGTGTGTAGTGCTATCTCATTGTGGTTTTAATTTGCATTTATTTCTCTGATGGCTAATGATGTTGAACAACATTTCATGTGCTTATTTGCTGTCTGTTTATCTTCTTAGGTAAAATGTCTCCCCATGTCTTTTGCCCATGTTCTAATTGATTGTTTACTTTTTACTTTTGAGCTTTGAAAGATTTTTAGAAAATTATTTTCTTGATACTAGTCCTTGATCATATATGTGATTTATAACTAATTTATCCTAGTCTGTGGTTTATCTTTTCGTATGTAATTTGGAAAAGGGATAGAGAGACCTTTCAAGATGGATAAGAACGAGTGTCTACCTACTAAGAGCCCAAGGTCTGGTGGTGATCACAACCCCAGTAGAGTGCCATGGTCTTCGCTGGGATTGATGGGCTAAGGTGGCACCTTTTCAAGGTTATTGTCTGTTAATCTCTTGGTTCTTCACCACACAGGCAAAGAAGAACTATGAGCAGAAATGCCGGGACAAGGATGAAGCAGAGCAGGCTGTCCACAGGAGTGCCAACCAGGTGAACGTGAAGCAACAAGAAAAGGTACCTGGAAGGAAACGCATGTTGTTTGAGGGCTGATGGCTTGAAAAATCTGAGACTTATCGTAGATCAGGCTAAAGCTAATTAAGAATTTCAATAAAGAATGGACCTGCACCCTAAGCTGCTTCTGGCTATTTGGGTTCCCTGAAACAGAAAAACCCTTGTCACATTATTGGGGATGGAGAAAGAGCTAGAGAAATATGGCCATGGAGTAGAGGGTGGGAGGAAAAGAAGTGGAGAGGTATTCTGAGGTTTTTCGTCTTTTTGCAAAACCCAGCTCGTGTATTCTTTGTGACAAGCCTGCCTCCTCTTTAGGTGGATTATAAACTTAATTTTATAAAACTTTGATACCAAGATTGTCAGTAACCAGAGGGCAGGGATATGTCTTTAGGAAGACATAGGACAAGCTACTTTATGGATATTTTCCAATGGCAATATGATTGGATGGCAAGTTGCATGATTTTCTTTCATAAGGGAATCATAGGAAGGATTTGGACTAGACCTTGCCTCTTCCTGGTCATTGCTCTTAAACCTGCTTTGTCTGTGCAGGGCTGGCTCAGCATTCCTAGTCCTTTGTTCTTTCTTGTCCCACAGCTTTTTGTGAAACTGGCAACATCAAAGACTGCAGCAGAGGATTCTGGTAAGGGGCTTCTTTCATCAGTGGGGAGGATTGGTGGTGAGCCTTGCATCCCCCTAGATGTGTCTCTGAGGTAACTGGCTCTACCTTACATTAAGGGATATATGGCTATGTAGTAGGAGCCACAAGACATACAGGAAAGAAGGGAGGGAGGATGAGTGAGGATACCAAAATCTGGGAAACTGGGAAAAAGCAGCAAATGAGGCGGCACTTTCTGGCCACCATCTCCTTAGGTCTTGCTGCCTTACATGTTAATAGTGTTAGTGGTGTTTGTGTGGGGGTAAAGGGTAGTCATGTTCTTGTTGTTAGGTGCCATCGAGTTGGTTCCGACTCACAGCGACTTCACAAACAGCAGAACAAAACACTGCCCGGCCCTGCGCCAGCCTCACAATTGTTGCTGTGCTTGAGCCCATTGTTGCAGCCACTGTGTCAGTCTGTCTCATGAGGGCCTTCCTCTTTTCTCTGCTCCTCTACTTTACCAAGCATGATACGCAACAACGCAATGCACTGCCGTTGAGTTGGATCCGACTCATAGCGCCAGCCTACCAAGCATAGGAGCTCTGGTAGCATAGTGCCTAAGGCACTTGACTGCTAACCAGAAGGCTGGCGGTTCAAACCCACCAGCCACTCCTC